TTTCTTTCGAGTTTCCTAGAGGCTTTTGAAGTGTATCTGAAGAGGAGAAACACTACCATCTAAGAGTTTACAAGCATCATGTATCAAAATATAACTAAATACTGAAAGTCATTTAGATTTTCCATCATTTGTAATGGAGCCAAAGATTCACTATTTTTTGGCTTGAAAATATTATGGAATAAAGCAAAATGGCTCACTAAACTATTTGCGCTTCTTTGTTATGAAGCGGCAATCAGTCCATGCAATTTTGGACGCGATTTTCACAATGGGTCATCCAAAAACAGTCTCCTTGTGGTTTAGTACAAGGGTAAGACTGTGTACATCCGACCCCCCTTACCCCACCGTAGGTGGGAGCCTTTGAGGCACTGGGGTAATGATGATGAGGAATGATGATGATGATGATGAATGAAAGTCATTTAGAGCATCATGTGATTGATTGTTTGAATTATTACAAATGACAGCTCATTTTCTGAATATGCTTGAAATGCATTTACTTTTCATACTATCATTCATGATTTATTAAAAGTAGAACCTTACATTTTGCGCTGATACTGCATGCCAAGCCTTCGATCCATTTCCGATAGTGCTTCAGAATCCTTCGCAACACATTGAAGCTTAGATGAAAATATATGGTGCTCATCCAACAGAGCTGTTTCCAATTCTGATATTTTGTTTCTCACATTTTCCTGTTAATAAAAAGGAACGTGTTCATATACATATAGATAAAAGCAGTAGCCTGTAAAACAGAGTATATGGTGTACGCATTTCACAAACCACCTGATTGTCAAAGAAACTGTTTTCATTTAAGAGAAAAATGGATTACTTTGGGAATAGAACACTTATTCTCTGTTTTAAAACCCCAAAGCTTTTACAAAATGGAGGAAACAGAAAACAATTATACAATTAATAAATTCACCAACCATAACGTTAAGGTGATGCTCATAAGTTAGCTCAGACAAAGCACCTTCCACCAACCCAACTTTTTCCATTAGATGCTGATCTACTTCAATAGATGCCTCGTCTTCGGATATTTGACCATCACTGGAATACGCAACGTTTTCAGTTTGAGAGAGTTGAGAACAAACAACAATCAAACAATGAACAAAGTAGTTCAAACTCAATAGTATTAGAGACAGTAGTAATTTATTCTAACTCTTTTCAAATTTTAGAAGACAAACAACCTCAGAATTATGAAACGCCAGAGACGGTTAAAAGGATCACAAGCATGAATAATTAAATATCATATTGTAGGCGCGCTTTATGTATCTCAGTCATTCCTTCGGACAAAGAGCCTTACATTTCTCCTATTAAATTTTTTAATGTAATATGCATGATGTTTCTCATTATTGATTACATGATCCGACACAATCAGCATCTAGATACCTTGCATCAAGGTCATCACAAGTAATTTGCATGCCTGGAGTGACAGGTTGTTCAGAAACCTCATCTTCACAATCACTTAATGTCTCTGCCACCTGCATAACAAAACCCTGCCGCAGAGCACCACTCTTTGAAGCAGAACGTTCCCTATAAATATCAGAAAGCAAGAGCAATATACATCAAAATATCAAATGGCTGATCAATGCAGTTATATACTAGTCAACCACTGATTCATGATAAAGAATTAAAGAGATACAGACAGATGACATATCTTGGTATATGCTGGAAACTTTGGGGATGCAGCAACCTTCCTTTCAATTGAACTGAGCTCCAATAACAGATCATCAAAGCTCCAATCGGGTTGTGGATCAAGTGCAATCCCATCAATGTCTTCAGGAACCCTAGGTTTCAAATTCACAGCTACCCTGCTCAGAAAATACTCCAATAATCAGAATAGGCAATAATAACCGATGGAAAAGAAAGAAGAATAATTAGAACTAAACTTGTACTCCGTATAACATCAGACAATGAGAAAAAGGTTTTAAATTCTTACATAATGCAGTTGCCCTTTGACGAATAAAAGTGATATATCTGTACGTATACAAAAGCCGCAGGCGGACACACTCCAGGGGATTTCACTCCGCAGCAAAGGCAGCACCTAGCTCCAGCGGGACTGGACGTCCGTACGTGCAGGACAACCTCCTAGGTGACAACCAGCTTGTTGGGGTTCGTGCGTAAGGGTCATAATCGAGTAGTGTTCACTTGGAATTTGATAATTTCTCCCTTCCCATAAATTCCAAATGGTATATGGATTGCTTTCTTTTTGTTCCAATGGCGTAATCTCCCACCGAGCCCCTGACAGGATGGTGGAAGATTAGTACTCACAGAATTGAAGTAGGTCCATACACTCATGCGCACCAGAGGTCCAGCCTTATTTCATGTTCCTTGACCTCCATCCGGTCGCTGCGGGGATTCGAAACTTGGTCCGTTGTTCCAAATCTCCCATCACTCAATCAACTGAGCTACCCGTGCGGATTTATGGATTGCTTTCTTAATTTGAATGTCAAAAGTGATAAAGATATGTTGTATATTTCTCTCTTCATTCTCTGTACGAAATATGGTGATATATCCATATTAACCATCCTAGGCAGTTACAAGTTACAACACGTTTGAGAATAACTGTGACAGTTTTTGGAAAACTGTGAAACTGCCCAACCGCTTTAGACCTCGGTCTAGAACCACAGAGTTGGTCTATTGAGTGTTCTACATCGAGTACCACTATCGTAGACACTTTGGAATAAAACTCGTTCTTATATACAAGTGTGCACTTCACACATACTAGCTTGCATTAGAACACGGTTAGTCGGTTATAATTCTCATTGGCGCTCATGTCATTTCCAATTACACAAAATGGCCAGTGACACTAAAATCATCAACAATCATCCCTCATTTTAGTGTAACCCATGAAATGACATAACAAAGTTTTCAAACCAAAACTTGTACATAAATGAAAATATCGAAATGATTGAATTTTCATCTTAGTATTTTACACATTCCAAATATTTGAGAATCGAGGTGTCCTATGGATTGAACCCGTTGACCCATTTGAATACCTGAAGATAAAATACATACAAGTTTCTATACTCAACTAGAATACAAACTTGACACGATTATAAAGTCAGGTGTCCTAATCCCATTCATGACCGTATAAAAGTCAAGTCCCGAGCCTTTTGAAGTGCGGTTACACTTCACAATCATATAGGTAATTCCTTTATTCATGTATCTGCTTACATTTTATCGAAAGAATTATTAAGAGATAAATCCAGTCTCCCAACTACAAGTCCGAACAAACACCTTGGGATGATCTTGACTGTGTGTTCCAATCCATAAGTGTGAGGTTTACGCAGTGAATACAGCCTCTAACGTTGTATTAGAGGGGAATTGGGGCAGTCACTGTGACCGCTGAGGCAGTCACTGTGACCGCTGAGGCGGTCACTAGTCGTGGGGCGGTCACTGTGGCCGGTGGGGTAGTCACTGTAGGCGGTGGGGCAGTCACTGTGTTTGCGGAGTCACTTTGGCCGGAGTAACTTTGGTCGGAGTCACTTTAGTTAGAGTCACTTTACACTGCAGGGGTTAATTGTGATGATGGTCACATTTTTTAATTTTTTAAAAACATGTGACTTTTTGTCTTTTATTCTATTTTTAGTAATATCCAGACCAAAAGGCCTTAATGAAATATAAACGCAAATATAAGTAATTCTAGTCAAGTTAGAAAAAATTGCCGTGTTTAAAATCTAATAATCTTAAACTAAATTACTCATATTTAAGAAATAAAAACAAAAGAATCTTATTTTGAAATTTATAACTTTTTTATTCTTAAAATTAGCTAGTCTGGGGTAAATAGACAAACTTTCTCTGCCAAAAAAGACCTAGCGGCCGTCTCCCTTGAATAAGGGTTCCAGTTTTGCCGTTTAGATTTAGTCATCATCTGGAGCGACGATTAGGTTTGCAAAGTAGGAATTGTTCGCAGGAATATCGTTAGACGTGCTACGGCGGCCGATGGAGAAGGAGTTGCGGGAGCCAAGGGAGGGAGAAAGGGAGGCGTCCAGAGGGGCTAAAATTGCGGGGCAGACGGAGGTTGCGCGTCAGGGAATCAATCGAGCGATAGGCGGGAGCTATGCCTTGATCGTGTCAACAATCGAGCGACCGACGGGGGCGCCAGGGGATGAACGAGGTGGTAGGGTTTAAGTTACTTGTTTTGCTTATTTAGTTTTTTTTCCATGTTTCGTTCTTCTCCTATTAGCTTTTATTATTTTATCTTTTGTTTTCTTATTACCGTCTATATTGTTAGGTTTGTCAGTTTGTTTGGGAATTTAGCCTACTTTTATATCATTGGGTATGTTTGAATCTATGGTAATAGAGATGACTGTGTGAAGTCCGCTGCATGGTTAGCGATTCGTGTTGCCTTTTCGGGGGTGACCGTCTCTAAGTCTGATAATAGGGTTTACAATCATAGTTGTTGGAGTTTAGTTGGTGATAGATTTGTTTTTCCTTTGATTGATGTAATGATCCTGTAACTCATGATAAGAATTAGAGTCAAGTTTCCATTCAAAACTTTTTGGGAAAACTGTCAAATAGGTCAACGTACTTTTAACAAAAAGTCAATTGAGTCCATGTACTTTTAACAAAAAGTTAAAAGTAAAAAATGCCAGCTCGGACGTCCATGTAGGCGTTTAACCGGGTAACCAATTGATTACCTACTAAAAATCTGATTTTGTCGTTTTTTGATAGTTGATTTACTTAATTGACTCGGAAAAAAGTACATGGATCCAATTGACTTTTTGTTAAAAGTACGTGGATCTATTTGACAGTTTTCCCAAAGATAAAAAAATTGGAAAACAGTAAAAAATGTCAGCTCGGACGTCTAAGTAAGCGTTTAACCGGGTAACCGGTTGACTACCTACTAAAAAGCTGATTTGGTTGTTTTTTTTATAGTTGATGGATTTAATTGACTCGAAAAAAGTAAATGAACTCAATTGATTTTTTGTTAAAAGTACGTGGACGGATAGTTTTTCCAAACTTTTTTATTCTTACTTGAAAAACTCTCCAAATTTTAAGCTATCCAATTTTCTACTCCGTATTTGTTTTGACAGATTTGTTTATCCGACACTCGAGGGGCAAAACGGGCAACGAGAGGGAAATGCAGAAAAGAGAGCAAGGCAAACAAAGCTCCGGTACCGCCGCTACACCGGCGAAGAGAGGACGCCCAGTCGGAAGTGGAAGCAATCAAGTTGCTGCGGCTGCGGCCGCTGCGGCCGCTGCCGCAGCTGCAGCCACTGATTCAGCTGCAGCCCCAACACTCGCTGGTCCCTCCCTACAAGTACACTCTCCCTTCGCTGGTTAGTGCAATTGGAGCCTTAATTTATCTCATGCACAAATATACTCAATTGCAGTATCGTTAGTTGTATAATTGGAATCACATCGTTTACTTTGTTTGGCGGATTAAGCTAGGACAGTTTTAGATTAAATCCTAGTTCAGTAACCTTTCATGGAAAATAGGAATTGAATTAAATCAGTTCAGCTTAATAGCTTAAGTTTTTAGCGTGGGAAAAGGGACCCCCCCTAGAGTTGTCACTAAAGCACATTTAAGCCCATAAACTTATTTTTTGTGCATCAATCTTTATATACCACTAAAAGTGGGCAAATTCCCCCTTATCTAACGGTGATGAAGGCGGATAGATAACAACATCTGCTGAAAATTTGAAATAAGGAGCAAATTGTTTAGCATGTGGAAAAATATTTTCTACAAAGGTGACATGTCAGGAAAAGGGAAATATAAATCCGGTTTGTAGTGGTGTCACACTGTCACGACATATATATGCGCTTTGTTTGATATGGCCCCGAGAGGGTTGAGCATAGACAGAAGCAAGGGTGTCCCAAGCAGCTTTGGTAGTAGTGGCACGGTTAATAAGAGGAATAACAACCGCGGTGAGGGTGCCAATTAAGGCACCAAAAGTAGCTTGTCTTGACAAATCCATGATATATGGGCTGGATTTGGTGTTGATGTGGTAGACCCTTCGGGGGTAATAGTGGGAGATGGCAGGGATATGAACCATCCAGATAGCCTTCAAGATTATAGCCAGTCAAAGTGGACTGAATTTGGAGTTGCCAAGAAATATAATTTGTGGGAGAAAGCTTGATAATATTACCAAGATTAACAGAGATGAGAGGTTTATTTGGTTCTGATGAATTAGGAATATGAATCTGAGATGAAATGTGCTCAGAAGCAGTGTCGACTTCATCAGTGGAAGGAGGTGGTGTCATGGCTGAGATAAGTGTGATAGCCGAGAAAGGTGTTGGATCGAGAGTCTGACACCATATATAATTGATAATTCAAGCTGTATTGGTTTTGTGATATACACTGTCTATATATATGAGTGCAGTGAGTCCGTAACAACCTAAAGGATAAAGCTATGCATTTAAATAATAATAAAGATAATTATATTTATTTATAAAGAGATAAATATTAGAATTAGGATTTATCTCTATCAAAAACACCCTAGAGTTGTCATGTAAGCACATCCAAGCCCATGAACTTTTTTGTGTGTGAGCAAATGCCTTAAACAAACATGCAAAGAGGGCAAAACCCCACTTTAACTAACAGAAATGTCAAATTACAGAGTTAAACTCATGCCAAGAGCCCAAAACAGTGACAAATTAACTTCAACTCATAGAAAATCAAGTTGAAAATGAAAGTCTGCTATATTCAACCTACCCCAAAGACATTAATGAAGTCCCTCGATGAAATAGGTGATCCAAACAAGCTTTTATGAACTGTTGATACAACAAATATTACTAAAAAGTAACATCACGTATGTTCACCCAAAAACGATAGATGCGGTCATCCAAAAAATAAGTAAACTTAATACCATTCTGTCTCAGTGAAACCAGCACATGTGTTCACCCAAAAAAACAAAAAACACCTATATGTTAATGTAAAAAAATGTTTAGTTAATGTAAAAGAAAACATTCAGCCTCCACAATATGTTATCCTTGGAAAATGTCTCCCAATCCACTCTGCTGATTGACTTTATCTCAATGTGCTTCAAGTGATCTTGCTGTAATCACGGGATTTCTTAGCCAATTGAAGCCAGAAGACTGACAAGGAAGTCTTGATGGTTCTCTAAGACTCTAACATCGTGTCCATCTCCATAGAATCAAATAGTCCTTGTGATTTCTCTTGCTCGCTAACTGGGAGTTTTTCTCGTAATGCTCTTTCACACGGTATCGCCATTTTTGTTTTAACATTAGAGTTGATCTCAATTTGTGACACACCATCTGCAATCACTGTCTGAGATTCCATTCCAGGCTGCAAAAACAAATAGAGGCAATAAACACAATGTTTAAGTATACCACACACAGATATAAAAAATCACAACTTTAAAGATTACGGCAGTAGAACACATTGAGCACTGTTCTTCCAGTATTTTCATCCACAAAACAACCATATCCCATTGAGTCCACTGGTGTGTAAATAATAGATGTATTCAAAGATGCATTTGCATGTGCTGAAAAAGCTCCTTGATTTCTTCTTAGAGAAGAAAGTACAGATGGATATCTGGGTGCTCAGCTTGAAACCTCAACAAATCAGATTACTTTAATACTAGTGGGTCAATTGGTTACAGATTTCTAATGACTAAATTCTTACAGCAGAATATATTATGAGTGTTCCTTTAGTTTTAGGTGATAAAGTTGTTAGTTTTTTGTAAATCAGAATTTAGTGAACAAATGAATACAATATGACAGAATAAACTTAAGAGTTAAGACAAAACGGATAAGACTTAAGAGTTCAGACAAAAGGTCATTATAAGATGTTAAGGAGATTTCCCAAAATAGGAGTAAATGAAGTTTGAAATTCCAAAATAGGACTACTTTGTTTTTATTCCCGAAATACATGGCAGTATTTACTGTCATCTTGTAGCTGTGACCGCCAAATAGTTGCAGTACAGTGCATTTAACATGACAATATTTATTATAATTAATGACAGTATTTTTCAATCATGGCAGTATTTTTCATACATGACAGTAGTAACTCCTATTTCGGAAAGAAATACATACTAGTCCTATTTTTGGAATTCCAAGTGTCATTTGCTCCTATTTTGGGTAATTTCCCAAGATGTTATCCATGTGAGATGCCGTCTTAGTTTCTGCATATTAAAATGGATAAGACTTAAGAGTTCAGACAAAAGCTAGTTATATGACAGACATTTAGGAGTTACAAATAAATAAATAAACTAGCTGGAGGTGTGGAGTTGAAAGAGTTCAAGATTGGTTTCTTCGAATAGAATAATTAATTGATACTTTAATTTTATATTTTTGTGTGAGACAGAAAATTGTAATAGCAGCTCTTATTTCATGGCATGGCATGGGTTTCTTTACACATGTTGGTCTATAGCAACTCTAAAATGACACCCGTATTTATCATAGCAGCTCTTATTTCATGGTATGGGTTTGTTTATACATGTTGGTTGATACCATTTGTGTTTTGGTACCGACTATGGTTTGAAACAATCTGTGACTCCAACTTTAAAGCATAAAATTCCTCAACAAAGTCATCATTGGAGTTTCTTTAAAAAAAGTTGTCTTGTACTAAAAATTGAGCGATTTGATTATCTCCAATAAAGTTGTGAATGGAGTATAATGCAGTAGCATCATGACATCATCTTTACATGACATGGTTCAAAGGAAACATGGTAAGATTGTTTTGAAAGCACAAAACGTGAAGTTTAATTTCTATGATATGCTTCTTAATTAATTAGCTTTCTACAACTAATAACATGTGTAAGGAGTATACAAAAGAATCTTACGAGGTTGTCGTTGAGTTGCACATAATTACTAAAAGAATTAAAAGTACAGAGCGACTGCTTTACCTTCTATAAGTAAGGTTTCGATTCTTCCCTGGGCTGACCAGAGAGAGAAGACGGCTTCACTGGTAGAGTTAGTGGACGGAGTAGGAAGTGAGCTTCACGGATGGAGTTACATTGATAGAGGAGGAGGAAGGAAACTCCATCGATTGAGTTTGTTGAATTGTCGACATGCGAGGAAGGCTGGTTCAGTATATTTCAGTATATTTCGAGAGATGCACGTAAATTTTGGTTTTGGAAGACAAATTCCATCTCATTCAGCTTAGGGTATCTAAGCTATCTCAGAACTTTGAGTAGATGGCTATCATTTACTACGTCGTAGTATTCATCGTTAGATAAGGGGGTACTTGCCCTCTCCTAATGGAAAATAAAGATTTATGCCCAAAATATAAGTTTTGGGCTTGGATGTACTTTAGTGTCAACTGTAGGTTTTCTTTTTGCCCCTTTTCCCTTTTAGTTATGAATAAGTTTCACTTTCTGAGGGACTTGAGGTTTAATGCAAAGCTGTCATTGAGACAACATTGTCATTTGATAATGTTTTTAAATACGACTTTAGTGCCTCTCCTTTACAATGGCAACTTTGTGATGAAACATATTTTCAAACGTGTAGTATATGAAAAATAAGATGAACTTCTACCACCTGTTGTGAACGATTGGTGTTCTGTTCCTTGTTTGGGTTCATTAATTTACCTGTGTTTCTCACTTTCTCAGCATTATTTACTTATTTTGTTAGAGCTGAATTACAAAAGGATTGTTCTGGCTCTTCAAAGTGGGTTAAAGAGTGAGCTGACATGGGCATTCAATACTCTCACATTGCTGTCATTCAAAGAAAAAGATGAAATTCGCAGAGATGCTACCCCTCTTTCGAAAATTCCCGGGTTGCTCGACGCTTTACTTCAAGTCGTAAGTTTTTAATATTAAAACAGTGTGCAGTGGAGAATTACCCCCATCCACCCACCCAAAGTGAGGGGGTTTGTATGTGTGAGCATCAAGGGCATTTTTTAACAAGTTCAACAGGTCATCTAGAACATGGCCCACCAATTTTGGGGGCCCCAAACTTTTTTGATAGTAGTATTATAATATAGTGAGAAATGATATGTCGTGAACGGCAAGCCCGTTTGAGGAGCTTTTGGGTTGATTTGTTTTATGAAACTTTGTGAGAATATTCTTCATGAAGTTTAGATTCATCATCATCATCATTACCCCAGTGCCGCAAAGGCTCCCACCTATCGTGGGGTAAGGGGGGTCGGATGTACGCAGTCTTACCCCTATACTAAAACATAGAGAGATTATTTGTTAGAGACTCTACTAAATCGAGGGGAGATGATAAGTACTTTGGCAAAGTATATTCTAGAAGGAAGTAGAGTTAGTTATTAGTTATAGTTGTTGATAGCTAATAACCATTTTCCGGTTAGTAGAGTAGTTTACTTACTTACTATAAAATATAAATAGTAGTAAACTAGATATTGTTAGCAGGTTGTTTCTAACTCTAAGTCATTTCTGGGAAGATCAGAGTTGTATCTCTATCTTTTGGGGGCTTCGGCCATTGTAACCTTGAGAAATAAAGTTTGAGCAGTTGTTTTGTTAGCGTCTGTGAATTGTTTGTAGAATTGCAGAGTTCTAACATTGGTATTAGAGACTTCGATCACTGTGGATGGTGCATATGCGCGCAAAGATGGAAGCGAGGATGGATAACTAGGAGAGAAATCTACAGCAAAATACCGAATTGCTAACTACGATGATGGCGCGAATGGACGCGAGAGATCAACATCATTCGCGCCGTCGATCACCTGCTTTACATGCATCGCATCGTGCCTCGCATCGGCACTCTGCGAGACATGATGATTCTTCTGCAGGATCCGAAGGTCAGTCGGATTATTCCCCGCCTAATTGACATCGCAATCATCATCAGTCCAGGAGAAAAGTGGACCTACCGCTATTCAGTGGTGAAGATGCTTACGGATGGCTGGTACGTATTGATCGCTATTTCTGACTTAACAATATTGAAGAAGAAGAGAAAGTCGAGGTGGCACTGTGGCAGTACTCGCGATGGAAGACAAGGCTCTTAGCTTGTTTCAGTGGTGGGAGAAACAGGCTAGGGAGAGGACTTGGGCGAGGTTGAAGAAAGCGTTGACCCGTCGCTTCCAGACAGAACTGGTTCAGAATCCATTGGGGCCTTTATTGAGTTTGAAACAAAGGAATTCTGTCAAAGAATACCGTGAGCAATTTGAGATGACAAATGCTTCTATAGACAATTTAGACAGCAAGGTCATGAGAGGAATTGTTTTAAATGGGCTCAAGAAGGATATCAGGGCTGAGCTAAAGCTGTACAAGACAAAAGATTTGGCGGAAATCATGGATAAGGCCTTGTTGATTGAGAATAAAAATGAGGAGAGGTTATCCGGGAAACACAAGGAAGAAGGAAAAAAGTTCTGGAAGAGTAATACTGTTAGGGGAGTCCAGTATATTCTTAGGTGTTTCAAACACTCAAAAAGGTTACAAATGTGTTGATGTGAGCTCGGGCAAGATGTTTGTGAGTATGGATGTCACATTCTTTGAAAATAAACCTTTCTTTGAAAAAACTTCTCTTCCGGGGGAGAGTTTAGTCAATAATGAAGATAAGTTTTGGAAATGCATTGTACTTCTTATTCCAATTTTTAATAACCAAACTGAGTTAGCCTATAACAAACATACCATAACAAATAATTCAATTTCTCATAAAGACACTACAAATGTGAGGAACATGGAACCAAATACTGAACTTCGTGCTTACTCAAGAAGGAAAGAGCGACAAAGAGTTGTTCCACAACTTACTGATGCACAACCAATTCCTAATCCAAGCTATGCTTCAGGTAATACTCTCAGTCTTTATCAAACTCTTGATTTAAATCATGTGCCTGACCATAGTAACCCAAATCCTACCCCTGATCCAAACTTTGCACCTGATCAAAGTGATCTAAATGAACCCATAGCCACTAGGAAAGGAGTTAGAGAATGTACCAAACATCCTATCAGTAACTATGTGTCATATCATAACCTATCACCAAAGATTAGAGCCTTTACCACTAGTATTACTGATGATGAAACTCCTAGAACGATACATGAAGCTCTAAGTATTCCAAAGTGGAGGGATGCTGTTCTAGAGGAAATGAGGGCATTAGAAAAGAATAAAACTTGGGAACTGACAAAGCTCCCGCCCAACAAACACCTTGTTGACAGTAAATAGATTTTCACCATAAAATATAACTCTGATGGTACAATAGAGAGGTACAAAACAAGACTGGTAGCTAGAGGGTTTACTCAAACATATGGGCTGGATTATGAGGAGACATTTGCTCCAGTTGCAAAACTCAACACTGTCAGAATACTTCTTTCTTTAGCTTCAAATCTGGATTGGCCTCTACTACAACTAGATGTTAAGAATGCATTTCTTAACGGGGACTTGGAAGAAGAAGTGTTTATCGCAGGTACCACCTGGTTTTAACAATGATAATACTGCAGGAAAGGTGTGTAAACTAAAGAAAGCCTTATATGGACTCAAACAATCTCCTAGGGCTTGGTTTGGGAGATTTGAAAAAACTGTGAAGAAGCAAGGATACACTCAAGCACAATCAGATCACACTTTGTTCTACAAACACAATGTAGAAGGTAAAGTGGCAATATTGATTGTATATGTGGATGATATGGTACTGACAGGAGATGATCAGGAAGAGTTGACATCATTGAAGAAGTTCTTAGCTCAACAATTTGAAATAAAGGACTTGGGGAATCTCAAGTACTTCCTTGGCATGGAAGTAGCTAGATCCCACAAAGGAATTGTGTTCTGTCAGAGGAAGTATGTGCTGGATTTACTGAAAGAAACAGGTCTTCTTGGATGCAAACGTGTTTCAACTCCAATTGACCCAAATCAAAAATTTGGAAGAAGTGAAACTGAGGAAGCTGTGGACAAGACCAGATATCAACAACTAGTTGGTAAACTCATTTACCTAGCTCACACAAGACCAGATATAGCATTTGCAGTAAGCTTAGTCAGCCAGTTCATGCACAGCCCAACTGAAGAACACCTTAGAGCTATCTACAAAATTATTCACTATCTTAAATGTAGCCCTGGAAAAGGAATTCTGTTCAGGAAAACCCAAAATAGGCAAATAGAGGTGTTTACAGATGCTGACTATGCTGGAAATAGTATTGATAGGCGATCCACATCAACCTATTGTACATTTGTGTGGGAAACCTTGTCACTTGGAGAAGCAAGAAACAACATGTTGTATGAAGAAGTAGTGCAGAAGCTGAGTTTAGGGCAATGGCACAAGGCATATGTGAAATCATATGGATAAGACGTGTGTTAAAAGAGTTAAGGATGCCATCAGAAAGGCCTATGAGATTGTATTGTGATAACAAATCAGCTATTAGCATTGCACATAATCCAGTGCAACATGACAGAACTAAACATGTGGAGGTTGACCGGAATTTCATTAAAGAAAAACTTGAGAGTGGAGAAATATGCATTCCCTATGTTCCAACAACTGAACAACTAGCAGATGTGCTGACTAAAGGCCTCTTCAAGCAAATGTTTGAGGAAATTTTAGTCAAATTGGGCATGATTGATATCTTTGTTCCAGCTTGAGGGGGAGTATTAGTTATTTTAATGTATTCATATTTATCTAAATGTAATTAGATAATTGTTAGTTGTTAGCGGATAACTATTAGTTAGTTGTTAGTGGATAACTATTAGTTAGTTAGCATTAACTCAGATCCTAATTTTTAGGAGTTAGTTCACTGTGATGTATCCTATTTATACTGCACTTCTTAATGAGAATTATTATTCCGCCTAAATCTGTTCTGCTCATAGACCCTTTGAGATCCTAGAGAAGATTAACTCATTAACCCAGTGGCTTTCAAGCTAAGGTTACCTGTGGGGAGTAGAATCCATCCTGTGTTTCATATTTCTCTATTGAAGAAGGTTTTGAAGCCTACTAGTACATACTTGTGGGTATGACAGAGGAGTGTGAGTTACTGGTCAAACCTGAGAAGATAAAGGATGTCAGAATAAATGCTACTGGAGAGAAGGAAGTTCTGGTGCACCGGGAAGATCTTCCGGACTTTGAAGATTCTTGGGAAATGGAAGATATCATCAAGCAACAATTTCCAGGTTTCCAACTTGACGGCAAGTTGGATTTTCAGAAGGGGAGTATTGTTAGAGACTCCACTAAACCGAGGAGAGATGATAAGTACTTTGGCAAAGTATATTCTAGAAGGAAGTAGAGTTAGTTATTAGTTATAGTTGTTGATAGTTAATAACTGTTTTCCGGTTAGTAGAGTAGTTTACTTACTATAAATAGTAGTAAACTGGATATTGTTAGCGGGCTGTTTCTGACTCTAAGTCATTTCTGGGAAGATCAGAGTTGTATCTCTATCTTTTGGGGGCTTCGGCCATTGTAGCCATGAGAAATAAAGTTCGAGCAGTTGTTTTGTTAGCTTCTGTGAATTGTTTGTAGAATTGCAGAGTTCTAACATTATTTCCGAATGACCCACAGTGAAAATCGCATAAAAAATTACATGGACTGAGTGTTGCTTCATAACAAAGAAACGCAGACAATTTAGTGAGCCATTTTGCTTTATGCGATCATATTCTCAAGCCAAAAATAGTGGGTCTTTGGCTCCATTGCTTTAGATTATGTCCACAAATTTCAGTTTAAAAACACTGCGCATACACTTCAGCAAAATTTTAAGTAAACATTTTATTGACATAATCTACATCGCGCCTGACCAGATCATTTTTTATAATATAGTTATACTACGCATTACATAGCATTACAATTAATAATAATAATAATTAAAATCAAATAGGGCCTCAATTTTAGATTTGGAACCGAGGCCTCCTAATTTATTAGACAGCCCTGGTGAGCATACTGATGAATGAAACAATAATTTCAGATAGATGACTGGCGTGATATAGCCTTACCAAGGGTGCATGTGAAAGAACCTAGGGTGAGACTCTTGGGTGCAAATTCTCTTGTCACCGGATTTGGAAATAAAAATGATGCTTTGGGGAAAAATAATTTAGTTTCCCTTCAAAGGTAAATTTTGCATTACCGTTTCACTTCTTAAAAATTATAATTTTTAATATAATAAGTAACTTCCGAAGTAGCCGTGTGATTCAGCTGGTACTGTAATTGTAGCTCTGGAACTGAATCTGGATCTTCCATCAAAGAGACATCTATTAAAAAGACTTCTCGTCATTCTGGTTGGTGGTTTGAAGAAGACGGCCTGTTCAGTTTGGATGAGGAAGGGAGAGCTGAAAAGCAACAATGTGCTGTTGTGGCCTCTAATATTATTCGCAATTTCTCTTTCATGGCAGATAATGAAACTATCATGGCTCAGCATCGACATTGTGTGGAAACCCTATTTATTTGTCTTGAGGACTATGTTGTAGGTGAGGCTTAAGAGCATAAGTAGAGCCATTGTACTTGTTTGGCCTGTGGCTTATCTTGTGATTTATGGTTTGGTATGGGCAATAATAGTAGAAAGAGGTCCACTTTTCGTCATACAAGTATTATAGTAATCTCACATTAGGTCCATGTCTTTGATTTTCTCTCATTTGGTACATGACTATTATTCCTTCCCCACACATGATCCTTCTGGCTAAATTTCTGGTACTCCCAATTGTCTGAGGTGCTGCAAATTTAGCCAGAAGAACCACAAGTGGATAAAAAGAAATAGTCATGTACCAGATGGGAAAAATCAAAGTCATAGACTTAATATAATATTGTTATAATACTCGTAGGAGAAAAAGTGTTTTTTTCTATAATTACTCTGATATAATTTCAATGTTTATGTCAAATTTTTAATATATTTGCAGAGGATGAGGAGCTTGTCACTAATGTGCTTGAAACTATTGTTAATTTGTCCCATTTGCTAGATCTTCGAATATTTAGTTCATCAAAACCTTCTGTACTCAACATGAGGTACACATTTTTGTTTTGTTTCTTATTTTCTGATATTCGCTGTAATGTACTAAACCGTCTCCAAATATGCTTCTCTTCTATGTTTGTCGCGTCATTAATTAATATAATAATAATAATAATAATAATAATAACATTGTGTGTTTCCGGTTTACTTGGAAAGAAAGAAAAATAACAACCATGCAATTCTTTCCCAAACAAAATTGTGAACATATTTTTTAAAACAGATGAAAAGGCAAGAGAGAAGCTAATTTGGGGACGGTAGGAGTATAAATCTATTTGACTGGTGGGTTTGATGATGTAGAGAGAACCGTGCTGTCCAGGCTATCATGGGCATGCTGGGATCTTCTGTCAAAGCCTGGCATTGTGGGGCTGCAGAACTGATTGGTCGTCTGATTTTAAATCCGGATAATGAACCATTCTTTCTTCCTTTAGCTTTACAGGTTGCTCATTTTTTTGGTTTGATTTAAATTGTGAAAGATCACCACTTAGCAAACATAACTATATGAACAAGAATGATGAATTGATGAAGATGTGCAGATATATAAAAGGTTGGTCGATATCATGAGCCTTCCCGCGAACGATGCTCAAGCTGCTGCTGTGGGTGCATTGTACAATCTTGTGGAAGTAAATATGGACTGCCGACTGAAACTTGCTAGTGAACGATGGTAAGATGAAACTATTGTTAATTTGCAAGTATTGAGGCTGCATCTGTTTCCAGAAAAAAATTGTTATGAAAAATGTTTTCCTAGGAATTAAATTGTTCTATGCATAACTTGCTGATATACCAAACTGTTCTATGCATATAACTTGTTCAATTTTTTATCTATAAAATAGAAAATACTACTATACAACAGTTTCAGGAAAATAATATCCGTTTTCAAAAACAGAAAAACATACAAAAATTCCTGGGGCCTTATGCAGTAAAATACTATCTTGAAAATAAAGTTTTCCTTGCCAAATAAAGGAAAATCAGAATATTTTCCCAGGAAAGAAATTTCCTGTAAACTGTTGGAGCTTTATATCCACATTTTGAGCATAAGTGCATAACTGTTACTCACATCTGATTCTTTGGAACATTTAAAAGGGCAATTGATAGGTTATTGAAAGTCATAAAGTCACCACATCCAGTATCAGAAGTTTGCAGGAAGGCAGCCTCAATTCTGGAGAGTCTAGTGGCAGAGCCCCAAAACAAGCCCCTTCTTCTCGTCTTTGAAACCGCTTTCACTGAGATTCTCTTTGCTGATGGAAAGCATTCTGATATATTTGCAAGGATACTCTGTGAGCTAACATCACGGCCAGGCAAAGCCACACTAGCTCGAGGTATTTGGGGCATGTAACTTCTAATGTCTCTTCTGTCTTGCTAACGTGTTATCAAGACCCCGTTTTGTTAATCCCAGTTAGTTTCACTGGTGCTTTACTCCACGAATAATACAAAACATTTAGCAAGTGTAAATTATAAAAAGAAGATTAGAGTATTTTTGTATTTTTCAAGTGGTGGGTAGCTTGAAATTTAAGTCCTCTCTCTCTCAAAATACACTAGATCTCATCCATCTGAAAGGATTCTTATATTTTATGAGTTTTTTCGCACATATACCTGATCTGATTGTAATGCGCCTAAATGTAATTCCGTTTCAGAGGCCATCTGGTACTGTATTTTCAATCCACAATTAGGGGGGGATGCAGCCATCCAGAGCAAATATATTAACATTGCTACCAAGCATTTTGTTCAATTTGCATCGGCTGTATAGAGATAGGTCATCCCAATCCAGTGATCAGGAATATAGAATACCCAGCTCGGATGTTGGTACATAATCTTTACTAGTTTAGGTAGCTGTTGAGACCGGTTTTTATAGCTCCTACTCTCTGCATCCCATAATGAGTCTCATTCTTTTTTAGTTAAAAGATCAAGGAAGGGTGTTAAAATACCCCATATGCCCTTACTCCAATGCACTATTCACTCTTTTAAATGTCTAATATTTTAGCAAGTCCCTCGTTTTTACTGCATATGAACTGATGCACTCTTCACCCTAAGCACTCACTGAAACCCATAATCGGAAGTCAATCTCCCAAGAACCACTCAGAGAACTTTGGTGCAGATCAGAAGTCACACTCCAGGTAAATTTGGGTTCTAATTTCTTTTTTCCTGGCCTGATTCTCCACATTTACCCTGGATTAGTGCGCCTATGGATTGGGCGGAGTATGAGTTCAGAATGGGTTCAAAGATGAGGCACAGAAGGGGCAGAGGGCAGTTCTTGTGTTGATTAGATAACGTTATCAATAATTTGATTTTCAAAGGTTCAACCACAGTACTTTTTTCTTTGAAGAAACCCGAGACCATTTTCGGTGAAAAGGAACAACAATTCAGAAATGGAAATGGAATTAAGACTTACCATATATTTAAAAAGATGTGGAGCCGTTTGGTAGCACATTTTTCTTCCTTATTTTGCCAAACACATAAATTTTGTTTTCACATGTTGAATTGCGTAGTAATCAAAATAAGTAAGATTTGAGTAACTTTTTTTGAAGAATTGGCAAAAATCACTGATCCTAACTACAACATTTAAGTTATTTTTCATCTGATTTTTTCTTTATTTATTGATAAAATATACTTTAAATATAATGTTTTTATAATTTAGGATATTCAATCCATTCAGTCGCTTGATTTGGAATTTCACCAACTTCAAGCATTCAGTATTACCAAAAGCGCCGATGAACTTTACTTCAGTATCCAAAACTGAGGTAGAATTGAGTAGTCTTAAATTTAATTTCAAAAGAAAAAGGAGATTGAGAGGTTAAAGATAATGAGAGAGTTTCAGATGAGATGGAAGACTTGAAAGTTGAAAGTGAGGTGAAATTTGGAGAGGTCAGTTAAGACAAAGGGAGAAGTGGAAGGGCAAAGTTGGGAATGAAGGTTAAAATTGTTATTTACTTGGGAAGAGTGTCATTTTCGCCCTCCTAGTATGCACACAAAGTCAATTAAATCTCACACTTTAAAAACACTTTATTGAACCCCAGAACTCTTAATTAAAAAAATGTTTAATTGATCGGTTTACCTAGTAAAAATCCAGTTTTCTGGTTAACGCCTTAACGGCCCATGTGGCGGGCCTTGTGGCATTTTTTCTTTTTATTTTGTTTTGTTCCTTTTTTTCTCTTTTCTTTTTCTCTCCCTCTTTATTTCTTCTACACTCGCTTGTTCACCTTCTTCCCAGTGCCACTGCCCAATACCGTTGCTCAACCAATAGCCACCACACTTGTGCTGATGTCATACTTCTACTGTTCTTTGTAATGCTTAATGTAAGATAATATCACTAGGGATAATCTCAAGAAGGGGATGATTCGGAATCTGCAATTGTCTCGGCCACCAGATGGTGTGTGAACAAACTATTAAGTGAAAAAAAGTGACTGTTTTAAATTCGTGGAAAAGTAACATCTTGATTTATGAATATTAATATATTCATCCGGTCCAAGTCCCTTCCTTAAAAAATATACATTATGACTACTCCTCTAACCCTTTTATGAGTTAATAAAAGGTAAAAACTTCAGCTGTTTTGATTCGATAAACATGAATGTGTGTGGTTGCTTGTGGGTTGGGGTCAACGATTAATGTGACAGACTCTAACCTAAAGCTGAAAAATTGAAAATACTTAGAACCAGTTTGGTGATCTTGTTTTCGGCTAATCAACTTCATCAACCTATTATTTCACCAAACACGTAACTTTTGATTTAACACGATGAATTGTGTAATAATAAAATAAGTAAAGTTGGAATTACTTTTTTGAATTGACTCAAGTTACTATATAAGACCATTTTAGCTATTTTCATATAATTTTTATTAATACAATATATTTTAAATATAATTTTTCATAATTCAAAAAATTCAACCAATTCAACTTCTTCATCAATAATTTCAATAGAATCTGACAATTCAGCAAAATTTCAGTATTACCTTTGAAGAGAGAGAAATGAGACGCTCTTTAAATTTGTTTTCTTAGCTCTTGATAATTTTCTAGAAAAAGTACGAGAGAAGAGTAGCAAAGGTAACTAAAAAGCACTGTGGGCATAAATTGCACATTATTGCAACTAGGGTAAACAGATACATCAAGGAAATATAACAGGAACATGGAACTGGGAATCTGGGATGAACATAAATGAACTGAGACTTTGGTCCATCTTGCTTTTATCAAATCAATGTAGTTTGTTGTTGGTCAATAATACATGTAGCTGACAAACACTCTTTTTCTTACTGTTGCATTTGGTAAAACAACTGGTTTTCTTTGGTGTCGGTCATAATAATCCCAATCCTGTTATGTACACACACTCAGAAACAACATCCTTAGTTTTCGCTGTTTCTCCGCCTCTCTCTTTTGCTGACCACTTCTCGTACCATTTCCCTCAGTTCCTCTGGGGATGGAGGTGGGGGTCCTTCTGGAGGATACACCACATATTGACGCTTCACAACAGAAAATGTAAGGAGGCCTTTAGGGCATTTCCATGAACACATATAATACACACATACATAGATATATACACATAGACACATACACAACAAGCGCTTTTTAATCTTGTTGACTGAAAACCAAACCACAGGACACGAAAGTATATTGCTATACCATTTAAAATAGGGAGAATATGACTTTGCACCCCATGTTTTGTGTGAAATTTGACTTTGCCCCCTATTTTTCAAAATAATTAATATATGCACCCCAATTCACTATAAAATCATTTGACTTTGCTCCCCACTCCTTCACAATTTTAAGACTAATGGGGTGTATACATTAATGATTTTATAAATGGGATGCAAAGTCAAATATCATCCAAAACATGGGGTGCAAAGTCAAATTCTCCCTTTAAAATATATACCATTAAAATAGCGAATAATGTAGCTAATTGTTAAAGAAAAGCCTAAAACAGAGACAAAGAGAAAGCAAAACTGGCACAAGCGAAATATCACATAAAACGGCTAAAACAAAGTCCTAAAGTTGAAACAGTCATCACGAAGAGAAGAAATGCTTATATAGGGAAAATCGCACTTTTAGTCCCTCGAATAGTCACCATATTGAAATGTTAGACCCGTGTTCCCGAGTTTGTAAATGTCACCCCTCAGTTGTTCAAATTGCCGTAAATGTGGTCCTTTGAGGGGTACAATGCACTCCTCGCCCACGTTGTATATTTCACCCCTCAAAAGACCACATTTACAACAAATTGGACAATTGAAGGGTGACATTTACAATATCCGAAATACGGGTCTGACATTTTAATATAATGACTATTTCAGGGACTAAAAGTGTGATTTTCCCGCTTATATATTACACTGGAACTTAAATCTGAACTAACATTTGACACATCAATATCATAAAAAATTCACACATAGATTGCCAAATTCACATTAATAAAATGGTATCTAAACAGTTACTCACAAACCATAGAACAATAACAAACTTATACATGGCAATGTAGAATTTGTACAACTTTCAAACAGTTCCCAGCTTAAAATAATTCATTTATAGGAATTATAGCAGTCTAGCAGAAGCCATAGGAGTCTTCACGTGTTACCGACGATTGTCTACACCAAGCTGTTACTCTTTACTGTTTGTCCCTTGAGATGTACAGAGTGACTGTTTAATTACAAAGCTACTGTGGGCAACTTGTTTATTTAAAATGAAATGATCCACAGCGCAAATGCCTTTTCCTACTTTGCTAGAATTTCCATCCACAATGCACACAAATTTCAGCCTAAGGTTTCATGTAAAGTAAAGAAGGAAACTGATGGATATTCGAGTATCTAAACATACAGTTTAAGAGAGATAATGAGCTAATAAGAGTATGACAAATAGTGTAGCCTAGTATTAGGTTTTGTGTATGAGATCTTCCTCAGTTCCTTGTACATGGCTCCCAAGGGAGTATTAATAGGAAAAATATGGGCTGGGCTACTAGGTTAGACGAGTGCATACCAGAAAGATCATCTTATGTATCACACTATCACCTGATGCTCTCATCATAGCAAATCTCAGTTAATCAGATAACTAAGGGGAAAATCTTCGTGGGATTTTTTTGGCAATTGGTCGAAACATAATAGGACGAACACAAAAACAATTTATTCCAAGAAAACAAAATAATTTCTGGCAAAAAAGAATGCCCCCTAAAACTTCGCTATAATCGAAAATAACAAAAATGATTAGATGGATTGATGGAGAGGGAGAGATTTACGGTGCCCATAAATTTCTGGAGATTCGATGAATTGTTGGCGAAGAAGTACATGAGACCAATCGGTACGGATACGTATACCGCAAATTTGGCGATTTCTAACAATCCCTTTGAAGATCCCACAGACGACATCCTTTTGTTACTTCAACCGGGGAAATAGATCGAAGATTTCAGCTTCTTCAACTCTGCCAAAACCCCAAGGATAGCGGACAAAGAAGAGATAAGAGACCAGCTCCGTCAGGCGTCAGTATGGGAAATTTTGTTATAGGTTTTCATAAAACTATTGGGAGAAAAATTAAGATGGTTTATGTGTGGGTAAAGGTCAGGAAGGGTTAATAATAACCTTTTCAACATCTCAATTGTCCACTTTTTTAACAGTCCCATTTGGTGTTGTACAATTATTATCCTTCTCATTTACCCTAAAAACATAAAATGCTTCGACATCTAACTTTGAATCTCTTTGCCACAGGTCTGATGAGTCTGCCTTTTTCCTCTTCTCCTTACTCGTTTCTTCTGGCTAAAGGTAAAATTATTAACACTTCCATTATTAACACTTCATTCATTTGACTCTCCCAAACAAGGTAAAATTATGTCTAACACTTACACTTCCCTTCCCTTTTGGACCCTTACTAACATTTACTAACACTTCCATTACTAACACTTCCAAACACTCCATCCAAACAGGCCTAAGATTGCGTGAATTATGTGTCTCTTCTACTTTGTTGAGTAAATTTTTTCATCAACGTTGTGCATGTTATAATATTAATTTATGTGTGAAAGACTGCTTAACCGCATTAGAAATGTGATGAACAATGTTATGAGATATTAGACTTATTTGGGGTAGTACTCAACTTAAACTGCAATGAGTGCTTATTTGAAATCTAAATGTGTTAAATATTGTATTTTTCATAAAGATCTGTCTATTCGTTGATGTAGTACTTATAAAATAGTTTTATGTGTTTCTTAGATTTAAGGATCATTTTCTACTTATATAAAGAAACTAGTAACTATATCAATGAACTGGTTAAAATAGACATCATGAAGAAAATTTACAATGTGTTAGTTTATTTTCATAAGCTAATCAATCTTTTTCTCATATTTATACACCAACGACTAACCTATTTTTTATTGAAAAGAGCTCATTTTCATAAGCTCATTTTATCACCACACACATACCGTACCGAAATCCGACCACAATCGTTTTTATGGCACAGCCCACCAACCGTATCGAAACTCGACCGCGAGCGCTTTTATGGCACGGCTCACCAACCGTACTGAAATCCGACCGCAACCGCTTTTATGGCACGACCCACCAACCGTATCGAAACCCGATCACAACCGCTTTTATGTCACGGCTCACCCACCGCACCAAAACCCGACTGACAACTGTATTTACCGACCCGTCCACGTGTCACGTCCACCAACCGCACTGAAACCCTATCGCATACGCTTTTACGACTCATTCACGTGGCACGACCCACCAACCGTACCGAAACCTAACTGCTTTGCCGCGGCACGTGGCATGGGCTTGAGGACCACTACCCCCTATAGAATAAGGTTATGCGTGCAATCTCTTGAGACGCTCATTTGCTTTCATGATTGGTTGAAAGCCCATCATAGAACTCAAGAAGTTAACATAGCACCGGTGATCGGCCCAGCACTTCATGAAGGAAACGACAACTGACGATGGCGGGAGTTCCGACAATTAGGAAGTACTCCCTCCTTCCCGAAAAGGTTGGCCAAATTTTTTTTTTGAATGTCCCAAAAAGATTTGTCATTTACATTTAAAGTAAGAAATATGTAGCTAAAAGTAATTCTCTTTCCTCTGCACAAATTTCAACCACAGTTTTTATTTTATTATTCCACGTGAAAGTCAACTTTGTCCAACCTTTTCAAGACGGAGGGAGTATTTAAACTATTCTTAATTGTAATTTATAAATGTTTAATACTCTAAGTCAATTTAATGTTTCAAATAAATCTACATTTCATTTTTAATGGGTAGCATTTGTTATTTATATTATTAAACTAAAAAAGTGTGTAAACCACCCAAACCATCTCGAGACCAGACCCGAGACCGGCCGAGTAGCCGGAACCAGGACCCGTATAATCCAGGTCGATACAGGCTTCAGCCTTCCTGGACAGGAACCCGATCCACCCCTATCTTGCGTATTTTATTGGTTTTCATTACCATCATACCAGGTACGGAGTGGATTGTATAAATATCCATTGATACGACTAGGAGTGGACTCGGGCCGGGCCAACCGGCCCGGAACCGGACCGGCCCGGTGAACCGGTTGGTGCCCGGTTCGAGCCACCCGGCCCGGTGAGGTAGGCGGTTCAGGCCCGGGCCTGCTAAATAGTGAACCGGCCCGGTCGGTTCGGGCCCGGTCCGGGCCAATTTTTTTTTTTTGAATTTTTTTTAAGTTTTTAGGTTGGGCTGGGTATGATGGGCCATTTGAGGTGGTTTGGGGTGATTTGGGGTGAGGGGGGATGGTTGGGGGTTAATTAGGAAAAGCCAAAAAAAATTACATGAACCGAGTCCCGGCCCGGACCGGACCGGGGGTTACCCGGGCCGGTTCCAGGCCTCCCCTTTCATGAACCGAGGCCCGACCGGGCCCGGACCGGAACCGGTCCACCCCTAGATACGACTATACGAGTATTATTTACATGCCTAAGTTTGGTTATTAAACTCAAAAGTTATACATTGGATAGACATGAATATTTTTATGGGTACAGACTACAGAGGTACTCCGTACCAAAATATTAGCAAAATATGCATCAAATATTGGCACATATATACATGCATAAATAAGACTCTCCAGAGTTCTGTTTACAAGCAAATTAAAGGTAACAAGATGAGATTTATTAGCTTTGCCTATGCCACAAACTTTCCCTAACCCTTGTTGATCAGACATCTCTCACCGTGAGCTTTAGTTCAGCATGGGGTTTGAATTAATGGGATCTTGGGGGGGATACCGAAGAACTGTGCCACTCAACTTACTGACCAAAGATCGCAAAACATGGCTAAAGAGTATATATAGGCCTGCTAGAATGAATGGTGCAGCCACAATCCATCCCAATAGCTGCACAACAACCATCAAACACATCAATTAATGATATGCCCAAATTAACACAACTTAGTCTGCTGTAAAATGCAAATGAATTATGCTTTATGCATCAACTGGGAGCTTAATTTGATAGCCGAATTTCAATTTATTGTTTAAGCTGCTTTATCATCTTCAACTTCAAAGCTTGGGTGGTGTTTAAGTTAGAGAGTTAATTACATCTACCCCCAAAATTTGGTCAAATTTCCTGACAACCTTGGTGATTTAAAAGTTTCGAATAAGACCTGCGATGGTTACATCTCAACCATAAGATTTTGTTTAACGTTGAAAGTTCAAGGGAAATCAGGCATTCATGACATTAACAAGAATGATGTGTCTTAATATTGAATTTGGTGTGTTTCTTTTTTGCATTTCATCAATCAAAATATGTGCCCCCAACCTTCATTTCTAATCCAAAAATGAAATTCTTGCCAATATCAATTACACGCTATCATCTTTCAGCATCGCCTGAGGAAAATCTAATCAGTCAAGGGGTTTATTCCTAATTTCTGAAAACTTGAAGGTCATTTGGAATTTGACCACACCAAGGAGTGGTGGGTGTAACTAACCCTTGTTTAGTCAAATGCATACAAGGTGTAAACAATATTAAAAGTGATGATCCAACCCATAAATGTCATAAGCAAAGTCAAATCAGATAAAGCATGCAAACTAAAGGTCCAGCTAAGAAATGTAGACATCGGAGAGAAAGAAAAGGTAAGAGAAAATGAGAATTATGGTATGTATATTGTATGTACGTACCGCACGTAAAATAGTCGGCAAGAGTTCATGTGAAGCTTCACCAGTGAAACCCTTCATTATTGCATCCGATATCAACAAGAAATGAGAGCCACCAGTAATTGATTCTCCAAATCGCAGGAATGGGATTATCAAACTGCATAGTTGTACCCCAATGATGCATGCATTGACAGAGATTAGCCTAGAATAAATTATGACAAGTCAACCAGTCAAGATCTATTAGGAGAATATAATGGTGTGTTACCCTCATCAGTTAAGTAAGATGCATATAAGCTAATAAGCTAGCAAACTAATTCTAACTGTTAGATAAAAAAAGACTTACCCCTAATATCATCTTGTAAAAGGAACACAAATAAATGAAATTTGTGTTTTTTTTTTTTGTAAAAGGAACACAAATTCGTATTAGTAGCTGAAAACCATATCAAGACAGAAGAAAATCTTTGCAAAAATAAATGAAATTTGTGTTTTCTAATTCCAATACTCTAAGTCTTTATATGATGGAAACAAAAATAAGAGTGCGTTTATAAAAGATCTAAAACAACAAAAACATTACCCCAGCGCCACAAACGCTCCCACCTACCGTGGGGTAAGGGAAGGTCGGATGTACGCAGCCTTACCTCTGTATCAAAGCAAGATAGACTATTTCCGGATGACCCGTGATGAAAATCATGTCGAAAATAGCATGGACTGACTACCCATTTTGCTAAGCCATTTTGCTTTATTCCATCATATTCTAAAGCCAAAAATAGTGAGTATTTGGCTCCATTGTTATTTAAAAAAATATCTAAAATAGATTTATTTAGTTTTAAACTTTTATCTCTCTTCTATTTCTAACATTCTTTTATACTTTCCTTCCTATTTTCGCTCCTTGGCATTTTCCGTGTTCCGAATGGACCCTACAGGATTCAGCAAGATAGTATTACTATCTAACTATCAACATCATACGTGTTTTCTTTTGAATTCATATACTCTTCATCACCAAATCAGACACGTGTTAAGCATAATAACCTAACGTTTAAAACAGCTTGTTTAAAGGCATTGGTACGGAAAATATTGCAAGTCACTGACAAAGGCTAAAGAAGACAGTCATGGGAATGAAAAGGCAAGAAAATGAATTAGTGTAGAAAAGGCATATTAGTTCTCTTGTTTTTTGCTTTTTACCTCGATTCAATTGGGGTGGCAATAAAGTTAGCAACCATTACTGTTGGGGCAAGACACAAAGATCCAAGCAATGCAATAGCCAATCCACACAGAAATATAGTAACACCTGCGAACAAAATATGATTGTTGCTCTTTGATGTTTACTCAAACACCAATTATGATAGTCATATGGTCTATTCAAATAATTCAATTGCTTTTTTTTTGTTTTGAGTTTTCAGAAAAAAAGAGCACAAAAACTAAATTCAAGCATTGATTGAATTAAAACACACAAAGTTCATGGAAAATATGGAGAAATCGCAATTTTGGTCCCTCTGTCTCTTCAATGTGGTCCATGTCTTTCAAAATATTGAAGCACGACCCTTGAATCGTTTATCTAGGTTTAGGGAGGAGTCGGAGGACACGGCCTCAGCCAGGAACTGCAACTGCGGGTCTTGGGACCAGTCTGGGATCAACAGCCATCAAATCGGTCATGGGACCAAGACCATTCAAAACTTCAAACACAGGTCCATGTCTGGTTCAAATTAATAGGGGACGGCAAGTCCTGGTTTGTTTGGGGGGGGGGGGGCTGTTTCAGGATCGGGATCAGTCTGGACTGTATCCAAACCCAAATCTCAACTACAATGAAGCGACCTATAAGTAAATTATTAATCAAGAGGGATTTGAAATTTACAAAAAAAAAACTGAAAGATGAGAATCTAAGGACTTGAATTTTCAGAAAAAATAATTTTACAAATTCGCTAATTGAGGTACATTTCTAACTGAAGACAGAACAATGGTTTAAAGCCAAAAAGAAGAAATTGAGGAAACTAATTCCAGGCCGTATTTCTTTTTTAGAGATTGTAGATCATACCACAAATGAAGAAGATTCCTAACGTAATGCCAAGTGCACCCCAGAATGCTAATTGCTTCACTTGGGCTCCCCATAATAAAGATAATCATTCATTCATTGAAATGTGCAGATTTAACAAACCTTATATTTCTTTCCTTACTAATCTTAATGTGAATCTTCAGATTTCCAAAAGGGGGAGATAATACCTACTGAGGATTTAGAGAAGAGGGTTGAAAATCTTCTTGCGGAGCCAAGAACCCACTTTTAATCTGACCTGTTTCAGCCCGATTGTCATAGTCGTTCTACTCAAGAACCTTAAAAACCAAACTGGGAAGCTCCACAGCTACGGAAATGCTTACAATAGAAACACTGATTCAATAGCAACAATTTCTCTTTAGAGATTACAGTAAATTCGAAGTGATTCATTAAGTAGTTGTTTTGTGATTCCTTTTCTATAGGGACCTCGGATTTTCCCACTGTACCGAAAAGGTATTTATGAAAGCCGCTACTTTGGGAAAGTTCTCATCTATTCAATTTTTCCATCAACCAGAGAGGATCGGTTGATAGTTGAGACAGATAAGGAATGACATTTGTTCTTGGTCAGAGAAAAGTCCTAAATAAGAATTTACAAGAATTGGAGTATGAATGATCTCTCATAAAACCACAGCTCTTTCACTAATTTTCTACTGTTTTTAGAATTAATTCCCTAAATAGGACTAAAACAATGAACAAATGCACAAATAGGACTTTCATGTTTCATAGGATTAAAAATGTATTGACTTGACAAGATTACCCTTAATGAAATTCTAAAATATGTACAATAAAAAATAAAAGTAAAACCCTAGCTGCGCTACCGGTGCCATCGCCACCTTGTACCAAAACTGTCGATGCTGCCCTCACCGGAATGACCTGCCGCTGCCCACACCGGCGTCTCCATCCATTTCCGCCCAACCAACGCCGCCACCATCCTCCGCCATCACTGCCGCCCAACCTGAGCCGCCACCACTCTGGCCCCCGCACTGCCTATTATCAAAACTGCCACCAGTGTCAATTCCGGGGACACCACCTTAGTGGGGTACAAAGTCAAATACTTCTCCAATTATGGGGTGCAAACTGCAAAGTTTAAGAGAAATAACCTAATTTTGACCTTGGGGTGCAAACTCAAAGGATTTAAAGAATAGGGTGAAAAGAACAATTTCAAAGTAAAAATATGGTGCAAGCTCAAATTTTACTAACAAGATTGAGAATGTGCTTCAACAAAATACTACTTCTGGTCCTATTTATAGGGCACAGTTTTGGTATAGACACAAACCAAGGAAATACTAAAAAACATTTATAATGATTAAAAATTCAAATACTCTTGTATCAAAATATACTTAGTCTGCATCCACCTTAATAAAATAACACATTAGGCTCCTTCATCAAGACTTCATTTCATATGGACAATGGTGGAAAACCACAAAAACAAGTTAAATATGCATGGATAATAAGAAAAGACATATTTAGGAATCCGTCCCCTATAAATAAGACCTGCGGGAGTACATAACCTTGAGATAAGAAGATTGTTTCAACTTTCAAACCAAAGAAATGTAATTTTCTCCCTTGAGAGAAATAAATAAATATAAAAAACTGAAATACAGCTTCAAATAAAAATGCATCTAACCTTGAAAGAAGAAGAATGTGGTTTAAACCAAACATGGGTTTTTCCTATAACGGGCATGTTCAACTTGATCAGGGTTCATTTATCAAATTCCATGAAGTATCACAAGATATTGATGTTTTCATCAATCCTTTCAAAGCTCCATATATAGCATGTGTCTTGGCATGCCTCTCATCAAAGCAATAAAACTCAGCTACATGGTCGTCAACTTCAATAGAACTATGCCCTGGCAGTTTCTTAAAACCAGTATCCCTCATCGCAACCTTCTGCTTTGCCACATCTTTCCATCTATGAGCATCACCGTAAATATTAGCAAGAGTTACATGGTTTGCAGGGTTATTTGGGTCAAGCTCAGTCAGTTTTTGAAGAGCCAATACAGCAAAATCGACTTTCTTGTAAATCCTACAAGCCCCAAGTAATGTGGTCCATATAACGCTATCAGCTGGCATAGGCATCTTATGCACAAATTCCACAGCTTGCTCAAAATGGCCAGCACGAGCCAGAAGATCAACCATACAGCCATAGTGTTCAATTTGAGGCACAATAGAATGCTTGTTGAGCATCAATTGAAAATAGTCAAATCCTTTTGAGACTAGACCCATGTGGGAGCAAGCGCATAATACACCAATGAAAGTTATTCCATCAGGTCTTACACAAGCATCCCTCATCTGATCAAATAACATCAAGGCAGCAACTGCCTGACCATGGACCGCCACACCATTAATTATTGTGTTCCAAGATATCAAATCTTTAACTTCCATTCTGATAAAAACATCAGTTGCATTTTCAATCACCCCGCACTTTGCATACATATCAACCAAACCATTCCCAACATATATATTATCTTTATAACCAATGCTCATCGCATAAGTGTGCACCCGCTTGCCCATATCAAGAGCTCCTAGTCTAGCACAAGCAGACAACACATTAACAAGAGTGGCATCATTAGGTTGAGCTTCAGAAACGGTTAACATCCTATTAAAAGCACGAAGAACTTCAACGAAATGTCCATTATGGGCGTATCCTCTTATCAAACCATTCCAAGAAAAAATGTTTCTCTCCTTCATTACTTTGAACAGCTTCTCACACTCCTCAACATTCCCAGATTTCGCATAGCCATTCAACAGGGTATTCCATGACATCAAATCCTTCATTGGCATCACAGTGAAAAGTTTCCTAGCTTCTGTCATGTCCCTGCACTCAATATAGGCTACAATCATGGTATTCCACAAGACAACATCTCGCTCCGGTGCCGAGTCAAATAGCCTCCTAGCAGTAGTCAAATCACCGTTCTCAATGAAGCCGTTGATCATAGAAGTGTATGTTACTACATTTCTCAAAACCATCTCACTAAACACTGTATGAGCACACTTGATTTGCATTGTTCTTGAATACAAATCGATCAGAGTAGTGCCCACAAATGTATTAGACCTGAGTCCAGTCTTGAATGCAACACAATGCACTTCCTCGCCTTCTCTCAGAGCAAATAATCTCCCACAAGACTTCAAAATAATGGAGAATGTATAGCAGCTCGGCTTCTCATCTGCATTCCTCATAAGGCGAAAAAGCACCAGCACCTCTCTGTGCTGGTTCTTAAGGAGGTACCCTTTGAACATAGTATTCCAGAGGTAAGAGCTTGGGTAGGTAGTTTGATCAAACAGCTGGCGAGCGCAACAAAATTGATTTAATTCAAAACATTTCAGCAGGAAAAGAGGCATTGTGTACTCATCTTGATCAAGACCGCGCACTGTGATCTGAGTTTGAATTTGTTCAAGGTTCCTTGGAGTATTACATAATTGCAATAATGATATGAACTTTGATTCGGGTCCCTGAGGTGGTTTGGGTACAAGTTTTAGAGCAATTTCACCAACTTTTGAAAAAGACAAGTTTGCAGTGTTCCCTCCAAACATCGTCCGGTACAAGTTCAACAAAAAAGGACACCTGAGTTAGCTAAGCCTCGCCAAAACAGTACGACTCCCCCAGAAGAAAATACTCCAACTATGGAGTCGTCCTCTAGCCACCTGATTTATTACATTTATAAAAAAGTCATCATCATTGTTGTTTGAATTGGTTAATTAAACAAAATGAGTAAATAAAAATATGAGATTGTTTATACCTTTTGAATTGTAAACACGAGAACTTTTGTATACTTCCTGGTGGAGAGATGTGATTCCTGTTATACAATTTCCAACAAAATGAGAAAGATAACCAAGAGCAGGACAATCAAAGTAAACATGGAAAACTGACATATACACGGCCCGAACGATTTCCCCAGTGAACCCTGAATCGTCGTTTCCTTTCAGCGTGCGGCTTTCAAAGGTTTGCACAGACTTTTCATTTTCAGACGTTTCTCGACGCGTTCGGATTTTGAAGTTTGAATCTTCATTTTCTGATCCAACTCATCAATTGTACATTCTAACTCTTATGGATTGAGTGAAAATGTTCTATTTCATAAGCCAAACACTCTCCAGTACTCCAGTCTTCTAGAATATGTTTTAATTAATGTTTCTGGTACTGTTTTTCAGTTGTGCCTCATACACTCATATGTTTCTAGAATATTAATGTTTTTTATTTGGTTTAATGTTATGAAATCATGTTATGAAATTTGTTTTTGATTAATGTTATGAAATTTGTAATTCTGTTTTATTATAGTACCAAAACATAAGGTACAGCGTACCGAACGGGTACTGAACTGAACCTACCCCCCTCCGACCGGATACGCTAGACTTAGCGAACAGGGTTCCCGATCCTCGTTCCCGTACTGAAGCGTTCTGCGAACTATGTGACTATATTCCCAGGTTCCATACTGCAAATTCTTTCGTGTTCCACTAAAATATACCCCAATCAGCAAGAACTAAGTCCGATCAAGGTTAAAGGGTTACTCAAAGTAGCAAAAAAATTGAACTTCAGACCTTGGGCATAATTGTTTGTACTCCAAACAGCTTCCAGCATCCAACCACATCTTTAAGTTACTATATCAAACAACAGCTACAGCCTGCACATACTTTTATTTCATTTCCAACTCATTTATGCACAAGAAAATTTAAAGAATACATTAAAACTTAAACAAGCTTCAAATTCCGAATGCACCTCACAATATTATCAGGTCCCCTAAATGTGGGAGCTACAAAGCCTGTTTAACCTGCTCCAAGGCCCTTTATTCATAAAGATAGTGCGGAAAAAAGGTAAAAGCCAAAGGTATGTTACCCACTGGGAATGTTCTTTTTTCGTATTCTCATGTTCTATTCAAGCAATGTTAAACGAGTACACAGTAATACACTATGACCTTATGATCTCATCATAGCGGTTCTCAGTTCATCAGATAACTAACAGACAAATCTTCCTGGAAATTTTATGGCAATTGCTCGAAACATGATAGGACGAACACAAAAGGCCATTTATTCCAAGAAAACAAAACAATAAAAACTGCCGCCCAAAACTTCGTTGATAATCGAGTAAAGAAAAAATGAGTACATCCACACATACATACACACATAGAGAGATGGATGGATGGCGGAGAAGTACATGAGATCAACCGGTACGGATACGTATACTGCGAATTTGGCAACTTCTAACAATCCCTTTGAAGTTCCCACAGACCACATACTTTTGTTTCTTCAACCATGGAAATGGATCGGAGATTTCAGCTTCTTCAACTCGCCAACAAAAATGGATAGCGCCTAGCGGGCAAAGAAGAGATGACCAGCTCCGTACGTCCTACCTGGCTGAGCAACGAGATTTTGTTGAAAAATTGAAAAAATATATACTCCCTCCCAGAAAAGGTCACCTAAAGTTGATGCCTTATTAATAAAGTAAAATTGTGGGTTGAAATTTGAGAGTGAATTTTAGCCACATATTCCTTACTTTAAATGAAAATGTCAAGTCTTTTTTAGACATTCAAAAATGGATATTTGGTCAACCTTTTCGGGACGGAGGGAGTATAATCTGGGTATCATTAAAGGCTCGACACTGAAACTAAGTTATGGAGAAAAGTGTAGGTTGTGAGTCGGGAGTAAAGAGTAAATGATTGTGTAAGTGTGACTCAGAAGTACCTTAATTCAGAAAATCAGTGTTAATTTGGTCAACTCAGGCATTAGGAAGTTTAAAATGTTGAGTTGGCAAACAGATTAATGATATGGCAAAAAAAGCCACCTCATCCGGTTACAACCCTACCATTTGTAAGCCAAGTCTACAGCGCAAAACTGAACCGAACTATACACCCCACTGCCGCACTCCGTCCGTAGCCCATCAACGCCACCGCTGCAGCATCGCCTCCTTTGGCATGAGTCAATAGGTTCGCTCTGTTCAACTCTCTGCCCACTTTGATTTAAAGAGGTCTCCTGAATCTTTTTCTTTAACTTAATTTTGTGTTCATTTGCAGCTTAATCTAGATCGATTTATAATTCTATTAATTTACCGATTTTTATTTTGATTTCACTCTCTCAATCAAAGACATGTATCCTTCTCGTGTGACTAACGCGTATGGCCAACATTAGAGCTACTCCTCCCAAGCGCGTATCTTCAAAATATATGCCATGTCCGAACTCTTTTATGCCCTTTTATCTTGGAATCTTAATTAAAAACAAAAGGATGCAGTTATTTATGGATGGGGAGACTTTGTTTTGCCATATCACTAATCTGTTTGCCAACTCAGCGTTTTAGCCGCCCTGATCCTCGAGTGGACTAAATTAGCACTTATTTTCCGAGTTAAGGTACCTCTGAGTCACACTTACACAATCATGTATTCTTTACTCCCTGCTCACAATCTGATGTACTCATCTGACACCTTTCTCCTAAGTTATGGAATTGCTGGGCTTTTGTGTTTGCTTAAAGATTATTTGCAAAGTTTTTAGTAAAATATTTACAATAGTAGTGTTTAATAGTGTTTGAAAAGAAATGTGATTTAAAAAAAGTTAAATTGTTGATGCAAAACGTATTTTTTATATAATCGAATAATGAAAAAAGTTAAAGACACGTTCATGACTTTCAACTTTTAACTTTAAAATACATGATTTTATGTAGAAACTAGAAATACATGTTTAAAATATTAGATTTTTTTAGTACAAATTCTTAAAATCTCCTTCTTAAACGGTTGCACACAAAGTTTTATTTTAAGCGGCTCTGACGCCGCGTAGGGTTTTTCCCTCCGCCAATTGTTTGTGCGATTCTTCTTCTCTAGGATCGTAGAGTGCTTTTGATTTTAGATTGTTGGTTCTGGTTTTGGAATTTAGGCGACTTTAAGATTATACATTGGATCTCGAAGCAGTGACAAGATTTCATCTTTGTTTTCAGATCTCTATTCTCCGCTTGTGCAAGTCTGCCTTAAAGGAGGTATGAGTGCGGCTGCAGCTTTTGCAAACGAATCCAATATTCAAGAAAGCAAAATTATGACTTCTATGGATGATCTAGAGCAGCGTTGTCTTATTCTTGCGATTGAGGAGGAGGTCGATGTGTTAGTTTTTGGCGAATCAACATGGGTAGAGGACAGTGGTGGTAGTGCGACACGGGTGACGAGAAGACAGGGAGAGGTGAAGGGTTGGGCAAGGGACATATCGGCGGTCCGCCCCCTCCTGAACCGCCACCTTGGAGCGATCGTGGTGCTAGGGTTTGGAAGATTTATCAGTTATTTAATTTTTTATTTTTATATGTTTTTATTATCGTGTTATGTTTTGCGTTGCTCTGTTTTTTTATATCTTTAGTTTTAGGTCTACAATAATGATTGGCAATTCTGCTAGATATTATGTCGTTAGAAAGATCTATATGGTCAGTGATTGTTGTGTCACACCCGCTTGGTGGTTAGCGTTTCGTATTACTCTTTCAGGGGTGATTGTCTCTGAATCTAGCCGCGGGGTTGATAGTGCTAGTTGGTTAGGGATAGTCATTGTAGGTGTTGGTCTTTTGAATTTGTTGTAAAGATATCATTCCTAACGATACTAATATAAGCGGTTGTTTTGATGACAAAAAACGTTGCACGCACTCCTTTATTCTTTTGCCAATATGTTAGACGGATTTTACCCAACAATTTTTGTTTGTGGGGCTTACGAGTTCCACAATTCATTTAATTACCTCTGTCTCACTCAACTTTATCACATTTATATTGTTTGTGGAATTAGAAAAGTAAAAACTGTGTAGTTGAGATTTGTGCAAAGGAAAGATAAATGAACAGAGCCACTAATTCATTAATTTAAAAGGAAAGTGAAAAAGTGTTTTGTACAAACAAAAAAAAAAGGTTAACAAAGTCCAGTGGGAAAGAGGAAGTACTCATTTTTAAAATTATGTTTTAAACATTTTCATCCATTTCTTCTTCTTAGATCTTTGGGTAAGGTCCATATATAGTAGTAGTATACATTATTTTATGCTCACTAATTCAAAATATAGCTATAACTCTTACATCTTTTTCATTTATCTCTACAAACTATAATCACCATACCAAATTAAAATAATCACACTTTGTATATCTCCAATTTCACATGAGATGAACCTAGCTTGTAATAAGATATTGTCTCGTTAGTTATTATCTTGAACAATTTTTCCTTAAATTTAGATAAATAAGTCAAACTCCCCCAATCTTTTTATGCATAGGGTAATAAAATAGAAAAAGGTTAATTATTGAGGTGCCTTGAAGTTTGGAGAATTCTACCTTCGTGTCAAGGACTCAAAGGATTGATAACCATATTTAAGTCAATGTCTCAATATTAGTAGGTGATTATTGAAGTTTTCTTAAAGTATATCATCATGGTGGATATGTATTTGAACATTTAATATAGTGTTAGTGCTCCATATCTCTACAATTATCTAAGAATGAATATTGTTTGGAGCATAATGCTCTTTAAAAAATGTTAGTGCCTCGGCGTGCATTAGCTAATTATACGGGAGGCATATTGAGATAAACATTTAAGCAGTTAGGGCAGAGAAACGGATGACGGGGTTAGCTTTGCCGTCAAAGCCTATTTGCTCTCCAAACTTAATCAAGTGTGCTTGTCTTCTTCTCTTCTCTTCAGCCTACGCCAAATTCTCACGCTCCAATTTCTCTCCTCATCTTCTCTTCTCTTCTTCCGTTGGATGTCGGCTCCAAATCAACTGCCACCCAGAAACTTCTTTTGCTCCCCTTGAAGATTGTGTTCTTCTTCTAAGTATTGTACATTTCATGTATCATTTGTAATTACCAATTTATCCTTTTATGTTATCGGTTTTTTTATGTAACCGGGTCTATCAGGCCTATATTAGAGGCCCGACCCGGATTTTCCTATATATACTCCCCTTGGGAGACTTGTAACCCTAGTTCCTAATGCCTAGAATCAATACATTCATACACAATACACATTCATCTTTTTCTCCTTCATAGCTCTAATCTCTCTAAATAATACATTCGGATACCCTTATTATCCTTTTTTTAAAGAGAAAATTTTATTCATAGAAAGAAAGGGTACAAGCGAGAAAAATAGTATAGAAAAGGAAAAAAAGGATACCCCTATTATCCATCAGATGTTTTAATACATTTCATGTGAGCCTGATGGACATAGATTCAATAGATTTTAATATGTGTGTTCTTTGTTATGGTTGTCATCCACTCAAACCCAATCCGAGCCAAGCCGGGCTATGGACTGAAATCTCAAAAACATGGGCCTAAGGCTGGATAGAGAAATATGAACGATGTTAGTGTTCTGTCATGAAAAGTTAGCTTTTGCTTGGTGTACTTAACATGTGTGTTTAATAAACTGTTTATAGACATCACTTACTTTCATGAGAGAGGAGAAATCAAAGAGGGCACATTATAAGTTTGCAATGGAGGTGAAATTAACACATATTGTTTAGCTGGTCTGCTATAAAATTGACATTTATTTACTTATCTTTTTGAGTATTCATGTCTATGAAAGCCTATTTTTTTGCTTTGCAACAATGACCTTTCAGGGGGACTAAAAATGATGATTATGATGTTGAAAGTGCTATATTTCAGAACTGAAAAGGTTGTATGAAGCGATAAGTGATTAAGGTTTGGGTTTTGGAAAGTTTTGGGTTTCTTGAAATGAATGTGTACATGTTAAAAGCTGAGATGATGGCTCCCTCATTCAGTCATCCAGAATGATTTTACATGTTAAAAGCTGAGGTGAGACTTTCCTGGAAGTTATGTCTCCCTCTCTCCTTTTTTACAAGAGGTGGCAATAGCCGTTTTTATTGGTAAAATTTCCTCAGATGTTCAACATTCCATGTGCCTGCCGGTCGGCCCTCGGTAGATTGTAGGCCGAACGTTCCTGAAGCATATTTCTTGCAGACCTGATAAGGGCCTTCCCAGTTTTGGGCCATTTTTCCGCCTTCGAGAGGTTTGCTCTTTTCTTGTTTCCGTAGGACCAAATCCCCTACTTCGATTGATCAGATTTCGACTTGTTTGTCGTAGTATCTCATTGTGGCCCTATGATATTCCTCCATCCGTTTTGCAGCTATATCCCTCCTTTTTTCTATGAAGTGCATTTCGGCTTGTACATTATCCTCATTACGTTCTGGATCGTAATGCACCGTTTGGTGTGTGGGATCTAGGACTTCTGTTTGAACCTTGGCTTGGAAGCCGTAAGCAATGGCAAATGGTGTTTCTCCTGTAGCCGTTCGGGGTGTAGTTCTGTACGTCCATAAGATGTAATTCAGTTGGTCTGGCCATGACGAGGAACATACTTCTAGCTTTTTCTTCATACCATCCATGATGGTTCGGTTCATATTCTCCACTTGGCCATTGCTTGGGGGTATGTCACAAATGCTCTGGAATGTTTGATCCCCCATTTGA